TTCCATACCAGATATTATATTTATTAAAGGTATGTGTGTTATCAATGACGACGATTTGAATCACCCCAATCATCTTTTCGAGGAATTTCATTGGCATTAAGTTTATGGAGATGATAGAGATTATTTCCTATTTATTTCCTATTCACCTGGTGGTTCGCAATTGCAAGCTCGACGAGCGATTCAGCTATATCCGGGACAAAACAGATGGTATATCCCGGTTGAACTTGGTCTCAAAGAATTTCTTTCACCTTTCACCTTATGAGGTCCTTAATAGTCTTGACAGGTATGCCATTTCTATCCCACATTATTTCGCTGATCCTTCGCTGAATTATACCAAATTATACTTTATGAGATGGCAGAATAATTTCTAACTATCGTCTAACCGAGCCACCATGTTCTCATTTTTAAGGCTCTAATAGTAATATTTCTGCCCCTTCGAGATACAGTCGTCATTCTTCGAAGCATCCGATAGTCAGAATCTTCTGACTCGTGCAGCATTTTCAGACAATTGGGCAGTTGTTACCCAACAAGCGCATCTCATCCTAATATACTCTAATATAGAAGTGGCTGATTTTCTTGGGACTGGTATTCATCTGTCCAGAGCTCTGATTTCTGAGTGTTCACTTCACTGCACTCATAGGCCCTGAATCTTTAACTCTGAAATAATTGAAACACTGATTTTGGAGGATATTGTTTCTTGCGAGTTGTTAATTTTATACGAATCTTGGCTCAAACCATAACATAGTCAGATCCACGAAAATTGCTAACTTAAGCGCTACGATAGGAACGACCGGACTTCTAACAGCGACTGACTAAAATATAATAATTCTGGTTGAAGTGTTGGTTATCCGAGGAGTTCCACCTGAATAAATTTTCTATGATGTCGGAAGCACGTATAACAATCAGTTCATGCTTTTTGGTAAAACAAAGAAGACGCTTTTCATTGACGCACCAAACCTCGGTACCATATTTGCCAATCATCGAGTTTTGCATGACATCATCGTGACCTGCACGAGATCCGAAGTAAGGTAGACTTATCTCCGACAAGCAGGTGACATACGCACGATAATTAAAAAGAGTGTGAACAGTGATCGCTGGCTTGTAACGTCCATAAGTGTTAAGACGTTTTACGCTGCTGAGAGCGTACAAATAGCTGTCGGAGATAACCGAAAATAAAAAAATAATAATAATACTGTAAGAATTCATAAAATATATAAAAAATTCATGAAAAAAAGAAAGCAACATTTCTTTAATAAAGCTTTTTCACATTATAAGTAATCAACTATTCAATACTATGCAAATCGCACAAAATTATTGGTTTTTGACCTACCAACGTTTGTAAGCCCAGCCCAGATTGGAATATGTGGCTTCCAGCAGGAGTCATATTTTTTGGAGGAAGAAAACCACTCGCCTTCGCCTACATTCGCTGTTTTTAATAACCACTCTCCTTCGCCAATATTCGCTTTTTTTTGAAAATTGTTTGAAAATTGTTAAATAAACTCTCACTTAACCATATTCGCTGTTTATTTAGAATCTGTTAAATAATTAATTCATTTATTGTTGTAAATTGTAATTTTCGATAACTATTTTTATTCAAGATTGCACTTTTTCCGACTCTTCTCTTGACATGCTTCGCGCAATCATCCTGGCTCGACAACAGATCACATTTTCAGCCTCGAGGTCATTTGACCCAGCGCCTCCTCAGATTTTTAATATAATGACAGGTTTATTCGTGTCAAAGACAAAGATGAATAAGAAAAAATCTAAGGAAGGGTGGAAAATTAATTAGAAAATAAAAAGAAAAACGAAAATAAATTAAATATAAAAAAATTTAGATTAAAAACATAAATAATAAATAAAATATACTAAATTTTTAATAAATTTCATTGTTTCACCAATAAAATTTAATAATATTTAAGTTTAATAATTTAATGCGAAAATTCGAAAAAAAAAATTTTTTTTTAAAAGAGCAACGTTGAAAAATTTCAGATCGATTTTGCCTTTATTCTTTTATTTATATAAATTTCAAATCGCAGTTCTTTAAAAATTTTCCATTATTTATTCTTTCTAAGTAAGCAATCATAATATTTAATATTGGCGTTTTATAATTAATCTTTTATGCATATTTTTTATTTTATTCCGCTTAGGCTCGCACCACTGGCTGTTAGTACGAGAAGACAATCACAGGTGGATCGCCATCGCGGTGACAGGTAAACCAGGCAAGGACTGAGGCAAGGATAATCGAGTCTGAATAATGGCCCTAAAGATTTTTTCTCAAAGACACAGATTTTTCGCCAGTTTTTGTATGCAAACAATAAAGTGATTGCTTCACTTGTCGGCAAAACTCAATTTAGACGCAACGTTGGACAGGGATAAAGTGACAACGAGCTGTCGACTTCATTTCCGAATGCCGAGTTCCATTCCTGGATTAGATGCCTCTCAAAAAATTCAGATGGTGGCGACTCATCCATCCCCACTTCGCCAAGTCAGAGTAGCAAAACTAATTAGAAATTATGGGCGCTCTTAGGAGAAAAATGGCTTTTGACAGATAAGTAATAAACTTATTCAAATGGAAAATCCGATTCGGTCTGCACGAACAATAAGAAACAAACCAAAGCACTTTTTGCTGGGAAAGTTCAGTGGGTTTTTCTTGTCGGAAACTTGCGGTGGTTCGCCTGGCGATTGCTTTGCTTTCGTTGGAAACTATTTATTTCTCGCCGCGAAATTTCATCCGCGAAATGTCTGCCTTATTTTATAAATTCCGAAGCCTTCTTTTCGCATATAAATAAAACGAAAAGAATTCCAACGATTTACTTATTCATTAAATAAATGAGTGGGTAGAACGACAATCCTTTTCATTCATTCATTAATTTCGTTCAATCGAAACTGACAGCTTTTTTTGATTTGCAAAAAAAGAAATATAAATTTTAGATTGCAATTCTTCTTTTAAATTCGAGAAAACAAATTCAAATTTCGGATTTGCCGAATGCATTTTCGCGGTGCTCAGAAACGCTCATTTTTCTAATTATTGCCAGCGGAATTTCATGTGAGTATAATTTACACCTTAGCTAACTCACTTTATATTCCCAAAAATTATGCCATAAATTATTCAGCGAAAAAATCTGAGAAGAGCGGGCCGTAATAAATTTGGCCGAGGCCACTGATATATCGGTTTTCAAAGCAAATAATTTTGCGGCGCTACTAATTAGCAGTCGACTCGTTGGCACTTTGAAATTGGCTGGAAATGAAGCTGATTGATAGTGCACCATTCTCTCGTCACGGATAATAATTTCTTTAATTAACTTATTATTTGGGTTTGTGTTTTGCTCATCGTTTGCGTACTTTTGCGAAGTGAATTCAATAAATTTTGTCCAAATTTTAGATTTAGGCCGAATTCAGGCCAAATTAACAATTTCGCCCATTCGCTGCGCTTATTTTTTTAACGCCAACACTCGCGCATATCCGCCGATTTCCTTTCAATATCGAATTCAGTTGTTTTCGATCGTTTGCGATCTCCGCCCGCATTTCGGCCTCTTCTTCTGCTTATCTATTTGATATTTCAGTTATTAATTTGCTGCTGAATATTTTTCTTCCGAAACGCCTCGCTTTTTGACGGCGAAATTTAAAAAATTTAGGGAGACTTGCAGTAGTGTTGTCGAGCGATTAAAAGGTCAGTTGGCGTTGACAACAGTATTTGTTTAAATTAGATTAGACCATTTCCCGACGAGAGCAGACGAAATGCTGAAGCCAGAGTATGCGCCATTAGAAAGGAGCACTTCCCTCCGTTGGTAGCAGTTAGCCACGGCAAATTATCCAATAGCAAATTATCAGCGTGAAGAATGAAGAAGAGACTGGCGCACTTGATAAAGGGAAGAACATTAGAACAGAAACATCGAGTGTAAAAGAAATACTTTGATGTAGTCGGAAAAGTCATGCAAATTTAGACGCAGTTAGAAAAGAAGTTTTTTGTAGTATTAGTGTTGCGTAACAGAAGTGCATAAAATGTGTTGTAGTGAAGGATAGATAGATAGATTGAGTTGAGAAGAGAGGAACCAAAGCCGAGAAGCAACTGAGAATGGGCAGAATTCTGCCCAAAGAATGGTAATCGAGAACTTCACAAAAGGTTTGTGGTCAAAGGTCTTCAAACAAAATAGTAGAATTACACCGCCTTGGAGAGTGGTTTAATAGAAGAGAACTTTAGCAGGTCAAAATGGCGGGTTGCTCCCAATCATATCTGCGCATTAGGGTTATATTATAATCATTAGTGATCCTCACCAATTCAATTCTTAATTACCAAAATCTTTGCCAAAAATTTTGCTTGATAAGCATAGTTTCTTCTTCTAATTATCAGATTAATTTTGCTTAGAGACATTAGCGGTTTAATGACATCATTAAAATTATTTTGATTTTATTGTCGTTGTACGATATTAATTTATTAAATTATATTAATATTGTTTAATTTATAATCGTAAATTTTAAAAAATTTTTGTTAAAATACTTATCAACTTTAGCAAATACATGAAATTCTTTTATCTCTTGAAAATTTTTATTTCCTAATTCGTGTCCTAATTTTTTTGCTTTTTTCATCAATAATAATAAGAATCTTATTAATACAATTCGAACGACTTGAATTTTAAAAAATCGCATTTAAATATGATTGCTACGTGATTTTATACAAAAGAAAAAATCTCGTAATTTGTTTTTTTATTAGTTTTTGGAAATCTCACTGTAATACTTAAAAATAACTGCTTGTTGATGGCACTTTTTATTTTCAAGGATTAATCAACTGTTCTGTGAGCATTGAATGATTGATGAAGAAATCGGGGATTTTATGACAATTTTCTCAGCGGTTAATAAATCGAGATTTACGTCCCAGTCAGTGGAAATAATCAAAATAGAAATGAAATGGCGCTGTAAGAAAAGGAAGAATTTCAGTTGAAATTTAATACATACATCAGATGTATAGGCGATTTCATATTCATTGTTAAGGAATAGCGTAAATGATAGGTTTTAATCCAGTGAAAAGTGTCTTCTCTTGGCAAAAGAATCGTAGGAAGTCCATAGCATTCTGTGCTTCTAAATTATTTTTCAGGTAACTATGCTTCTTCAGTTGCTGTGCGTTATATTTTGGCTAGTTATAGTTATTATTATTGCTCTCATAATTTTATTTTTATGGTTAGTTTAATTTTTTTCTTTGTTTTTAGCATTTTTACTTTTATGTTTCAAAATATTCAGTTTAATTTTAATTATTAATTTTTTAATTAATAATTAATTAATCAGAATAATTAATTTTCATGCATTTTTAAATTTCCTTAAAATATGCGTTTTAAATATTAAATTTAGTTATTTAATATATTTGTTATTCTTTAATTTATATTTCTTCTATTTCTTAATGAAACTCTTAATGAAACGAACTCTTTTATTATTTACATTAATTTGTCATTTAGTTTTACATAATTTTACGTTTTGGAAAATACTTTATTTTTTTAAGAGAAATATTATTTTTTATATTATTATTTTTTGTTTTTATTCAGCCAAATCTCGTAATTTATCGAATAAATTGGTTCGAACTTTTCAAAAACTCTCCGCATTTTTGTGAAAATTTTATCATTTTTTAAAAAACTTTTTTATTATCATATCATTTCTCAAAAAAAGTTTCGTGCTTTCAAGCTGAAACTTTTTTCGGTAAAGCGAGAAAAGTATAAGGTTACATTATGAATTTCATTTATTCTTAGGTGTAGTAGACGGAGAAGTGAGAATACCATCGCATTTTTTCATCCATATTGCAATGCATGTGGTGGTGGTGAGCGTGTGCTGTGGTGCGCAATCAGCTCTATGCAGAATGAGTTTTTTTTCTTTTAATTCATAGAGTTCATTGGTGCAGTAATCAAATATTAATTTTTCATAATTTTTCATTGATTTGATGAATTCTATAAAATATTAAATGAAAATTAGAAGAATGTCGGTATGTTTTATCTTCATATTATCTTATCCTTTTTTATGCTTATTAAATATTCAAAGAATGAAAACCAATTTTCCCCGGATTTTGTAGTAAATTCAAAAATTTTTTGCAGATTCAAGTCAAAAAATTTTCGATACGTTATTTATACGGGTGATAGGGATGCTAAACCAGTAGATTTTTTACAAAAAGCAAATGATCGTTTTAATGTTTTTGTCGATGAACGAAATTTGGAATTCATCTTCCTGAAGTAATTAATTCAGTGGTTAATCTTTAAAATACAGTAGCTGTTTATTCGCCCTTAATTCCCTTGAATTTTTAAAAAACAACTTTATTTTTATTTAGTACTTTTAGGAATTGATATTTTTCATTTAAGGATATAAACATTTCCAAATGTTTCATGTAAATATTTTATATTATCATTTATTTTTATAAACAATTTATAAACAAATATTTTATAAAAATTTTTATTAAATCATATTAAATTTTTTATATCAATTATAATCAATTTTTTAAATAGCAGTTGTAAACAACTGTTGAATTTGTAGATCACGGGCATTTCTTGAAGCAAAGTATTATCCAGTTTTTACTCTTGCCTGTCAAGCACTTGGAGGATTATTTGTTGGAATTGAGGCTATGATTAAAATTGTCCCAGAGGTTTTTATTGACACAATGGGTTGTCCACTCACATTGCCTTTATTTCGGTTTTATTTTATTTTTTGCTGTTCATTTTAAGTTCGATTATTTATTTTTGTCATAAGTTTTTCTTATCATGCATCTGAGGTTTGGGTTCATCTCATTTCTTTGTAAATGGTTAGGCCGTAATTCAGAATGATGCGGAATATGACTGTAAGAACCAGTGGTAATGGTGATTAATTTTTGATGCATTGGCTAGGTGCTGTCTATTCTTCGAGAAAAATATGGATATTTTTCAAAAAAAGATTTTAAATTTCAATTTCAGAATTTCAAAAATTTTAATATTTTCAAAAATTTAAAAAAAAATTTGTGATGAAATTTCCATTAATATTTGTATTGGTTTTTATTTGTGTTTAATATTTATTTTGCGTATGATATTTATTTTGTGCATTTATTTATAAAATCTAAACTATTGTATTAAATGATTTTTAATAATAATTACAATATTTTGTGTAATCTTATAGGTGGATAGCAGGTTCAAAAGTGGCTTGTTATGTGCATTATCCTACTATATCTAGCGGTAAGCTTTTTTCTTATAATTTTTAATAAATTCTTTTTAGCAATTATGCAAGCGATTCTTTTCAATATATTTAATTTTATGATTTTATTCTGGTAGCATTTTCCGCGTTTGAAAGCCAAATTATTCTTTTGAATTCCAAAAAAATATTTAAATGAATGCGGATTAAAAAAGAATAGTTTTAGGTTTAGTCTAAGATTGAAGAAGAGAAAAAACTGTCGCTTTTTTGCTGCTTAAAATGGTCATAAAGCTTTCTTTAATATTTTCATAATTCGCAGGAAATGTTATGTTCTTATAGATATGATTAGCTTGGTGGAATCGAGGAAACCAAGTTATAATAATGCTCAGTGGATTACAAGAAATCCATTTTTTTGCTTTGCCAAGCTTTATTATTATAAACTATTTGCTATTTTATATAAATTCTGTGGATTATCAAGTCATATAGTTATGGTCAATGGAAGGTTAATATAAAATCTAAATTTTCTGCAAAACAGTTCAATTATTAAATTGTTAAATTGTTAATCTAATCCATCTTAATATTTATTTAGTTGGACGATGAAACATATAAATTATTTGTGGAATGTACCGGAAAGAACTTTTTTGCTTTATCCGCCCTGTGATGTCAATTTTTTATTGAAGTGAATTATTTACATTATACATTATGTAATTCATTTTTTTCATTTTTTCACATTTCATAATATGTTTCTACTTGTCATTTTAATCAGTTAACATTTTTTATGAACCATTTTAATTTTCTTTAATCAATTTAATATAAATAATAGTAATTAAATAAAAGTAAATTAATATATTAAATAATATTAAATAAAGGTTGAAATCGAACAGCGAATTTTTATTGGTCAACGAAGGAAAAGTGCAAATTTTGTCGATCGGGCAAATTCGTCCTGAAAAGAATCATGGCTTGCAACTTGATTTTCTTGCCATTCTAAAGAAAAAGCTACTTGAAAATAATATTTCAGCGAAGGTGAGAAAATGATGAATAGTCGAATGTAATTAACAATTTTTTTATCTTTTCTAGTATTCTAATTTTCTTTTTCTCTAAACTCTAAAGTTTTAAAAATTTTGTAATCTAGAAATATTTCACAAAAAAACTCTTTCTTTGAGATCTTTCATTTCTGCATCATAAAATTTAAGGTTCATTTAGTTATTTGTGGTGGATGTCGAAATGATGATGATATTACTCGTTGTACTCAACTGAAAAATTATGCTTCAAATCTTGGTCTAACTGATTCCGACCTAAAGTGGGCATTAAATGTGTCGTTCAATGAACTTATTTCTTTGATGAAGGTATGTCTCACTTTCTTAAGACTGAAAATTTTACCACATTAATCAAATTCTTGCCACATCAATTTTTTGCTGATGGTTTTGATGTTTGGTGTTTCACGTTAGGATCAACTATTGTTGATATTATATGCAAAATTCTCTAATTCATTATAAAATTATAGAATTCATTGATTGGTCTCCACACGATGTACAATGAACACTTTGGTATATCAGTGGTTGAAAGCGTCGCATCTGGCCTTATCACAATAGCTCACGATTCAGGTTTATCATTTATTGTATGAATGATGATTTATTCTTGAGCTATTTTATTATTTTGTTCATTGGCTGCGTTTTTTGTTTTTTTAAATAAATTATCTGCATAGTATACTGATGTGAATTTGTTAATTCTTGAATAAAATTTGTAGAGTTAAAGTTAAAAATTAAAAATAATAATATTAATAATGTTAATGTTATAATAATGATATTAATAATATTAATAATATATAATATAATATATATATTAATATATTAACAATAATATTAATAATATTTTCAGGTGGTCCGAAATTAGATATATTATCCCCAATTGAAAGCGGACAATCTCTGGGCTTTTTGGCATCAACTGTCGAGGGTAACTTTTAATTGCATCCAACTTTATTAGTTTAATTATTAGATTTTATTAATTGGAGACGATATATAAGAAATGGGAAGAAAAAAAAAACGAATGTAATATTTAAAAATATTTAAGAAAAAGGTATTTCAGAAAAAAATTTCAGAATATGTTGACTGTGCTCTTAGAATCATAAAAATGACCGTTGGTGAAAGGGAATTAATTCGAAAAAGAGCAAAATTATCCGTTGATAGATTTAGTGATCAAAATTTTTCATTGAACTGGAACCGAGTTATTTCGATATTCTTCACAAATTGAAATACATTCTTAGGTTTTCTGTTTTCTTTCTTTTTTTTGCTTCTACTTCAAATATTTTTTATTCATTTCTTTTTAATATTATTTTATCTATTCTACTGTTATTTTATTTAATAATATCTGTTCTGAATCTTTTTAAATTATGAAGATTCTAATTGCCGCCTCAAAACTGATTCATTGTTAAATTTTGTTTGATTTATATCGTTGAATTTTAAAATTCACTACCCATTATTTATTACTTGTTACTTATTAGAACCTTTTCGAAATATTGTTTCTTATGGGTTAATGATATATTTTTGTTATTTTCCATCTTCTCAGCTTTTCAATATCCAGATTGTTTTTTTAATTGTTAAATTATTAGCCATTTTTAATAGTAAATGGTTTCTGTTTGGTTTCTAATGGTTCTTAATTTATTAAGAAATAGCTTTACGATTTATGTCTTCCCATGTTATATGTGTTATTTCTTTATGATTGTGGTTATTTTTATTAGAATTTATTAAAATAAAATTTTTGCTATCTTTTCTTCTTTTTTTTGGTTGTCTTTCCAAAAATTTATATTTGCATAAATTTTTAAATCTATTATTTAATTCGATATAATTTAAAAAAATTGATTCTTGAAATTACAAATTGCTGTTCATTAAGTTTTTCTTTTTTTTATTCAGTAATCATGTAAAAGAAAAATAAAAAATCTTCCTGTCGTTTGTAATAAAATTTCATGACTTTTAGTTAAAGCAGTTTGTAATTTGTCCATGAAATTTTGGCAAGAACATGAGAATTCATTTTTAAAATATTTTCGTTATCTATCTTATTTTATATATTATGATTCAAGCGTATTTAGATCAGTGAAATCAGTGATAAACAGTGCTGTTAAAGGTTTCTAAAAATTAAAATCTCTGGATCAGTCGCTAAGTGGTTTCGGGCGTTGTTAACGCCACGATGAAGTTATTTTCTATACTTATTTTTCATAAAACAAGTGATAGCAAGGTGAAATGTTTGAAATCTGCTTTTGATTTGACCAGCTTCAGTTTTTTCCAGCGTAGCTCTGTTCAGGTTAAATTATTTTAATTATTTATAAATGATTTATGATTTATGATACAATCATTTCGAATGATATCTGTATCGGCTTTTCTTATTTATAATTTTCGCTTCTTTTGGTTTGGTTTAGCTAACTTCGCTGATAGGCTGAGCAAATTCAAGGGAACACACTAAATAAAAATGCTTTTCCAAGTCTTTCAGGTCCATTGCTATGGCCGAAATGAATTGAAATTTTTAAATAATTTTAATCCTTAATAATTTAATTTTAATAATTTTTAAATTTTTCCAAGTAATTTTTTTGTGAGCATTTTTTTTTGAATTTACTAATGTATTTGTTTATTTTCATTTCGAAATATTCATGTTATTAGAAACTGGATAATGGAAATTTTTCATGGCAAAATTTTTAATATTTTTTTTCAGTTATTTTAATGTGTTGAAGTTGATTCTTTATCGGTAAGATGGTGAGGCAAAGAAGACATATTGATATTTGCTGAATAATTGTAATATTCTATTTTTTTAAATTTTTATTATTATAAGCAATGTTGGAACTTTCAGGAGTTTATGAGTTTCACTGGAAAATTGCTTGTTGAAAGATCGGCCACGCCAAGTCGCAGTTCTGTCAAAGAAAACGATTATTACTGTCATACGTAAATATTATTTGTTAATTTTAATTGTTAAAAAAACTTTTTTCGTTAATTCATTATTTTATTTTATGCGTACTTATATAATAATTTAATTGTAATAATAAAATGAGTTTATCTACACAGAAAAAACTCGAACGAGGCATCAAATTGCGATATCTAATAATGAAGGCTCGCTCGTTGAAATCCCTCATATTTTGTGAAAAGCTCGAAAAGCTTCATAAATCTTATTAAACACTTTCATAACATTACTTCTTTTTATATTTGAATGATAAATTCGATAAACAGTAGATCTTAAGATTAGATTTTTAAAATTACAATATATTACGAATATTTAAATTTGCTAATCTTTGTTGATCCAGGTTTTAACAAAAATTCTTAGCATTTTATTTAATATTTAATTATTTTATTTAATACCATGCATTCTGTTTTGATTTTGATTTTATTGGTTTCCCATCGAGATTTGTAGTTTTGCATCAGACGTTAACTTGTGGGTAGTTGACTTATCGATGGCCATAGCGAGAACTGTGAGGACGAATATATAGCGGATTAATAATAGGAATTTTGGGAACAATATTCGAAGGGTTATTATGGGAGTAAGGAGTTTTAAACGAACCTTCGGAAGTTTACATGAATTTGTTGTCGCCCATGCTAGCAATTTAATATTTCGTTGCATTCATTTTTATAGAAAATTGTTATAGAGTTATCAAATTTTCGTATATTAGGTTTGTTCGTGAAGACGGACTTTCGGCTGTTTGCATAACGGATTCTGAATATCAGTCTCGTGTGGCTTTCACATTGTTAAGGCGGGTATTGGATGATTTCGCAAGCAAAGTGCCATCTTTTCAGTTGGTCAGTTTTCCTGCTATATTCAAAGAATTTTAATATTTTCAATTTTATTTTATTATTTTCTATAATTTTTGGTCTAGGTTCAGAAAAAAAAGCGACAATTTAAAGGAAACACGTTTGCAGAAAATTGAAAAATGAAAATTCTTCATTCAATGATTATTTAAACATGTTTATAGGAACGAAAATTCTTCATTCAAAGATTATTTTCAATTGTTCGTTATTATAGGTGCAAATCAAAAATGAAAAAGATTGTTTGTATACTGGTCTTCCAGAATTACTTACTAAATGGCAAAATCCACGTGAAGCAGATGCGATGACTCGAGTACAGGTGAATTAGTTTTTTATTAATTAATCTTTTTAAATAGAATAGTTAATACGGTGATTTTCCGAGGAGACATGCTTTTTGTTTGGAGGCATATTATATGAATAAGAAAATGAGAAGAAAATTTATGAATATGAATAAGAAAATTATGAATATGAATAAGAAAAGAATATGAATATGAATAAGAAAATTTTTTGTATAAAATTGTCATTGAAAGTTTTTTAAAGGAAGAAGTGGAAGAAACGAAAGTTGTTTTACATAATACGATACAATCAGTATTAGACCGTGGTGAAAAACTAGATGATCTGGTTGCAGCTAGCGAAGGATTATCAAATCAGAGCAAATTGTTTTACACACAGGCGAGAAAAATGAATAAATGTTGTAGCTGGACATAATGTCCCACATATAAATATTTCATAGAAAAAGTATCGCTTTCCAATTAAAGAAAAAGGAAATTTGGGTTCAGCTGAGACATTTATAAACTTGTTGTTTCGCTTTATTCCCTTTTTTTCTCGGCTTTAAACGGATTTTTATATCTGATTTGTTGTCCATTTACGCCAAGCTATAAATCTTTTGAGAAAGTTACATAAACCCAAATTAATTGTTTTTCCAAATTTTTGGAAAGTTAATCGTTTTTCCTTTCTCATTTTTCTGTTTTTCTCCTCAATTTTTACCAAGTTTATTTTCATTTTACTTTTCTTCGCTTTAATTTTATTGGCTCCGTTAATTATGATGCTTTTTAATTTTACTTTGGTACACTATTCGTCGAAAAAGAAAACTTATTACGTTTTAGCTGATCAGAGAAAAGATTTACAATATATATATATATATATATTTTGCTAATTTTATTTCGTGAATAGTGAAAAACCAAGGGTGTTAAATCGAAGTGGAGATTATATTCTTTTTAAATCACTCTTTCCTTTATTCTTATATTTTTAAAAGTATTTACAAATAATTGCAAAAAATTTTTTATTTTTTTAAAATTTTTTGGATCAAATTAGAAGTCTATTATTATATTTGGTATTAATAATACGGAATTGATATTTATTTCTTCTCTTTATTCTTACTGGATTCTTATATGAGAGAGCACAAAAATTTTTTTGTGATTTGCTTCCTTGTAATTGAAAATGGATACAGTTCATTACCGCATTATCTACGTAGGTCATCATTTTTCATTTTTTCCATTATCTAATCTGGTCATCTTATAATGCTTTTCCAGTTGTCTTCTAAGACCTTTGATTTTGATTTCTTATACAGGTTTTTCTCAAATATTTCTGTTCACTTTTTTAGCTTCTAGTTTATTAATTTAATTGAATTTCTTTCGTTTTATTTTTGCTATTTCAGTTTGCTTGTTTACTTTGATTAGAAGGTTTATGTAAAGAGATATAAATATTTTTTGCTTTCATTTTTCAAAATTACTCTTTTGCTAATTAAAAAACACCTCGATTGTGGGATAACTTATTGCTATTGTAGTATAAATCATGTTGTTTTTGTAGCTTTTTTTGTTTTTAAAAAAATTGCGTCTCGTGTTGTGATTAATTGTGGTAGAGAGCATTCTTTTTTTCTTTTTTTGTCTATTTATTTGAATTTGACTTTGAACTGTTTCATTTACGCTTTCCAAATAAATGGTCAAAATGTATTTGCTTGTTATTGTTGTAATAAAATTATCAAAAAAAAATTTGAAATTTATGAATGAACGAATTTAATAAACCTTAAAGGATGAAATGATTTGACATATCCAATTACAGCAATTTAGGCCTAAGTCGAGTGATAATGTGTCGGAAGGCAGTGCATTTGGGGTATTTTTGATAAATTTCGATCTCCTTAATTTCGTTCTTTCGATTGGAAGCGGGGGCTTTTTTCACTTTTCTGCTGCATTTGGCCAGTTATATTCTCTAATTTTTGTTTTCTCAATTTAAACTCGCCGCTGGGAAACGTTCGAGATGGTGCTTGGACGGTGACTAGGATAGCTCAATTTTTTATTTTTATAAATTTATCAACTCGAAAAAAAATATTCGCGGAATTTTTTCTGAATTCCTTATTGTTTTAACCATCAAAAATTTGTGAATAGAGACTTCATCATGCGAACTTTTTTTACAAAAATGCTAAAAAGGATACAAAATGTGGAAGACCTTTTTTAAAGATTTTTTACACGTTGATAAGAGAAGCGATAAAGTGATGAATTTACGAGATGAAACAAGGTGACTCACAGCTCCCGCATACATTGTTGGATGAAAAAACGAAAATGACCCAAAATTAGTTCATTTTTCCGACCGAAAGGTGAGTTAAGCAATAAATGTTACCATCAAGGTCGCTCGAAGTCGAGAAACCATTGGCCGACAAAGCTGTTTCTATTCAGAGCAGAGCCGTAGTTGAAGGGAATTAAATTCCAATGTTATGACCGCTCGCTGCGCTAGGCTTTCACTTTAAGCACTCTCTCAATTTTAATAATATTCGAATAATTTCAATAATATTTGAGATGTTTGTTATAAAAATCGAGAATCAGTTATGCGAAGAGTGTTTTCGACGACATCTGCCATTTGTTCGGCCAATCAAAGGCTATATTCGGCGAAATCTTGGTATTGGCCTGAGGACGTTCATTTTAATATACTTAGTGACGCGGCATCAGCTTACTAATCTCAGCCTTGATTGCGTCATTTCTTCCGAATATAAAATTGCCAACTGTAAGTTCACCTTCTCACCTATTTGTCTAAGGTTGCTTGGAGTCGACTTGCAGTTATTGCGTTTTTTCTGCTTAAAATGATCAATCATTTTCTGAAAAAACTTTTTGCACCGATTGTAATCATAAAAAATTTAATCATCATTAACTTTAAAGGGTTTTACGACGCATTCGGCGTCACCGTAGTCACCAGCGCATGTTATAACGATTAAAAAGTTTTTTCAAAATTCGTGCGAGAGAAGGTCACTGAGTAATGCGAAATTATTAAAATTTTTATTTCAATAATTAAGTAAATTGTCGGCAAGTATAATTCCTGCGATTATTCCTTTTTTTTAATAGCACATCACCACATCGCCATGGCTTCGGTGAGAACGACGAGGAACACTTGGAAATAGGGGTTTATGAGCTAATCTTGCACTTCGCTATTTCTGTCAACTGATAGAAATATGCTGCTTGATCACACGCTTCGATTTTTATGATTTAACTGGCACGATAATTTTATTCCTAAAGACTCGAATAAATTTTTTTAGTTTCACATTTGCCAAAGAATAGCAAATACCTTACGGTGTCGAACTGCTATAGTAGATTCGGTAATCAGGTAAATTTTTCTTTTTCACATTAATTCAAGTTTCTTAGTTCAATAATTTTCAAAATAAATGCAAATAAATGCCAATTTGAATTTCGCAAATAGTTTTCTTGAAATTGTTCCCAAATGCGAATGCTCTTTGAGCATTCCATCTGCATTTCTAACCAAAGTTATTGTCTCATCCTAGCAGCCAATTGAGCGAGAATTGATGAATATCAACCACTTATTTAATTATTTCTTTGATCTGAATGAAAACTAAAGATATTCAATGTTAGATGTTTCGATTTGCATCGTTGTTCGGTATGGCGAAATCATCTCAACGCATCTTCTATGTCTCAAGTAAAAATAAGTGCTGTTTTGAGCAAGCGAAACGCATCATCAATGTTTTCCCAAATTTTCAACCACATATTTATTTTGTGGATAATTCGCCATCAAACGCGAAATTCATAAGGCTCGCCAGTTCGGTTACGAAATATCCGGGCATTAAACGGTTGTTATCCCTGATAAAATTTTATTTATTTATAAACAACAACCAAGCAACGCATATGGCGCTTGGATATTGTCCTACAATAACAATATAAAACAATAAAGGAGAATGAATGAAGAAATAAAACAAGGCAAAAAACCGAAGAAGTAGTATTATTAGTATTTACTAGTATTTCCTTTTCCTTTTTTCAAAATACTCATCAACAACACATCCAAAAGTTTTTTAATAAAAGAGAAATTGATGAATTGATGATTTGAGCTCCGCATTGGCTTTAATCAGAGAATTGGCGGCTAGCTTCATTAGCTTCTGCTGCTTTTCACACTTCCCACAAATCAAGATCAATTTGGATTCTACTTCCTCCATATCCCAAATTTTACCCGGCTCAGGGCGCAGAGTTTCAACGGCCTTCTTTAGCATTAATTTGATAGATAATGAATTATGGAGAATAAACGATAAATCTAAAACGATGAATCTAAAACCCAATAAATAAGAGCAAAAATCATAAAGCGACCGCTCACAAAAGAAAATCTTATCAAAATAATTTAACGAATATTTCAATATTAAAAATTTTTGGCTAAATATAATTTCGCCGTTCAACCTACTAGTTAGGCAATGCGGTAACAAAATCTATGCATAACTAGCTATTCTGACTCTCATCTCGTCCTTAAGAATTTAAGGATTGGATAAGGATAGTAGAAACTATGTTTGACCAGTGTTTTTTGCAGAGTAGCAAGTGAAAAAGCGCAGAATGTTGTACTGAGTGGCCTTACTTGCTTCCAAAGCTATAAGTATTTTCACAAACATCATTCTATTATCATCAAAATCCTGCAATTTAATGAAAATATCCGGCAACAAGGCAGTCAAATTGCACGAATAATATTTGGGTTAGTTAATATCTTTGATTTTTTTAGTGGACAAAGGCTCTTGAAAAAAAAGTTCGATATAATACGATTGAGCTCAAAAAACTAGTATATTTATCATTTTGAATAAATCTCCCCCGTTTAATAAACTTTTTTTTTCTTTTTTTGTATTTTTCGTAATGCGCTGATTTCGAGTTTCGATGAATGTGCCGAACAAAAAACTTATTTTTAGGCTACAGCTTGCTAGGAACAGTGGGCCGAATGTGCTGATTAATTTATCATCTTAGTTATTTCAGACATCGTTATTCAGCTTTTGCCCGTGATAGGAGTAAATTTACGAACAAAAAATCCGGCTGATGCTGGAGCCCATCTAAATTTCTATTCCTCCCAAAAGATCTGGCAAAGTTGTCCCACCAATAGCCAATATACCAAGCCTAGTCAGAAATAAGCCAGAAATGATGATTGCTAGCCAGTTAATAAAGCTTGCTCTGAAATTATGAATTTTTTTAGATCAGATGCAAGTCATAAATTGTGTGTGCATATTCGCAGAACTGATTTTTTTGATACGCATTCTCTATTGCCAAGCGATGAATATTTTACAAAAATGGCGATAGCATATGTGACAGCTAAAATTGCTGTAATAATTTCAAATTTTTATATTAATGATGATTTTTTTTAAATTACGGAATATAGAAATAAACATCACTGACGATATTTTTTTTAAAAGAAAATTAACCGAGAATTAAGATCCAAAAATTAAAAGATGAGAGAGGCTACGCTTCGGCAGGGCACTACCAAGTCTTTCGCTAAAAAATCCGGCTGCTGTTGGCAGTCACCTATGTTTTTGTCGCAAAAGTCGTACTTGGCCTAACCGAAGATGATGAGCGCTAATCGCTTTTTATTATTTTTAAAAATTTTTCTCTCTGAGCAATCAAAATTCAACAAAATTTTTCTGATTTTATTTCTGTTCACAGTTTTGCACAGTTTTTTCTAAAATTTTTAATAAGGCGCAGCCATTTTTCCTTATTTATTTATTTATTTAATTTATCATTTTGTTAATAGTAAATAGTTATTAATATTAATAGTATTTTATTAATAATAAAATAATAACAGTAACACAATAATTAACAATAGTAGCAGTAGTAGAATAATATCTCATTCTTCAATCTATGCGATTACCACTTCTTTTGGTATCAAAAGCTGAGTAGCTGCTTGACCCATCTGTACTTATGTCTGCAAGTGATTCTTTGGTAAAAGCGTCTAGTTATATTGATACTCCGGTGCATTATCTGGTGGTGCACATGATAATAAATATGCAAATCGTAACTAATAAAGAAAAAATAAATAAAGGCAATGCAGTGAATTTCTTAGCCAGGATAACTAGTCTGGATCTGTTAATGGAGAGGTACAGCTGGCTTTGTGTACATGCGGTGAAGTCTTTGTCATTGTAGTGTGAAGCGTCAGAATACTTAAAGACGTCGAGAGTCAGATGGTAATCATCCATACTTTATCTAAATATCATGTGGATATGTGGACATAGCTTGTTTGTCGAAAGTTTTTGGGGCTCTTGCGACCATACCAGACTCAGAGCAGAGATGGCACATGTCTGGCTGCAGCACTCGCCATCTTGTTCTATAGCTGCGAAATATGGCCAGTGAGAATGGAAGATATTGAGACTATTTACCTTTAGTTACACAAATCTAGGTTGCATTTTATATGTTCACCGAGCGTATAAGATTTCGCATGTTGTTCAAAATGCTCAACGAGCATTCAAAATATCGTCACAGAATGTTGCATACACTGGTTAGGCCATGTTCTTTGCCATCCATCACAGATATTCATCTCGCTGCTTGTGTTTTGAATGGCGTTAATAAAGGAAATCTAATCAAGTCTAACCTGAACTGATACAGTAATAAGAGAATATGGTCCAGTCCACGGATATATCGGCTTAGACGGTGAAAAAAGGAGTGGCTTCTTTAAATATGATGCATATCATCGAATCGAGCAGCTTGGAGGCGCCTTACTCTTCCGACTGGTGGAAAGGGCTTAACCATTAATGATAAGAGATAAAAGGAGTTCGACATTAAAGCTTGCAGATCGGAAATATTTCAGAATCAAATAAAGAAGAATATATCGATAACAATATTTGGCGATGACAAAGCTTGGATTGATGAAAGGTTTTATTCAACAAATATGGTGGGTGACTTTATTTATTTCATTATTCTCCGACTTTTTTCATTTTTATTCTCAATTTTTCTTTTTGTTTTCATACTCTTCTCCAGTGGGCAAAAATTCTGCTGCTTAATGATTGTAATTTCTGTAATTTTTTCCATTTTCCGATTTTTTAGAGGACAATTTATAAATTGCCGGCTGATGTTGAACCTGAAGTGGAAATGTCTTTTGCGATTGATCACTGCGACAGTTTTATCATGACGGCGTCGTCTTCAACGTATGCATTTTGGATTGCTTATCTAATGGGTGAAAAACCAATATATTATCGAAGATTGACCTCAAACAGTGGCACTAATGAAAAAGATTTTTTTCGCTTCGATGCCTTCTTGCCGCAGTGGAAAGCGATTCGTGAATTTGCGCGATTTGCAGTCTAATGTTATTTTGTGTTAACGAAGTTCATTCGAACAATGAGCGCTAATTCGCTACTTTGCTGCTTTATCTACCAACTTCAACCAATGATTTTTTGCCATGTTTGCATAACTTTGAACTGTATTGTGTATAACTGATTACAATAAAGTAAACTAAAATTAGCGATTTGCATCTTTTTACTATTCGAAAAAAGAATATTTGCTCGATCCATGAAAACTACTAAGGATTGATTGATAAATCTGGAAGAATACTATTATAAAAGAACAGAAGAGAAAAAGTTATATTCATAAGAAAATCACAAAAAAGTTATCTAATTGAAGAAACAGGACAAAACCGAAAATTGTGGTGGTTTAGTTTGAATTCCATTTTATCGTTCGTTAAACCAAAATATTTCACAGATTTTCTTAAATTTTTCTATTTTGGAGCATGGAAGGCAGCAATTATGTGTGCGTATAAGATATCATCTTGATTCCCACCTCTTCTCTCCTAATAGCTCTGACCATTACTGGCTTCGCTGACTAAAGGGTAAGATGTCTCCAAGTTGTTCGGTCCGATGCCATCGCTGACAGCCATTAATATAAGCCATTCCTTTTTCCATCGTCTGAGTCCATATATTCCTGGTCCACCTGTACGTCCAAAATCTATCCTGACCGTAGCAGTCCAGCTCTTAATTGGCCCACCTCTCCTTGATTCCACTTAAGCCATTCATCACGGGATCTCGATTTATTTGCAAATATGTAGGTATTTATAAATATTCTGTCTGCAGATTATTTAGATTTTTAAGAATTTTAATTTGATTTTATGATAATTGAAATTTTGCAGTCATCCACTTCTTAGAAAAGCCAAGTTAAGCATGCAGAATTTGTTGACGATGGTTTATACCTGAAAGCGCGGTGCGCCAGAGTATGCAAGCGGGTAAAACACAGACGAGGAATACACGCGAGGGCCAATAGTTAAATAAATGAATATGAAATAAAGGGTATAAACAGTAATAACTAATAATAGATCCGAGAATTATAGTTACAAGGATTTCCTATAAAATATTTTTGCATTAAACTTTCAATTTAACAGATAAAAAAATAATTGCCTAACAGAGAATTCATTCTCATTGTTTTATGGTTTTGTTCTTTAAAGTCGTCCTTACTTCCAACTATTAAACTTCGAGAGAAACTGTAGCATTGTTTTTTCTGGAAAAAAACATTTCCTCTAGAATTTCGCGATATGTTTCGAAAATTTTTAAAAATATAAAATTACTTAAAATAAATATACTTGTATAATAAATAAAATAAAAAATATACTTTGCAAAATTAGAATCTATAAAAATTTGAGGAAATTCGAGGAAAATTGATGAAATTTCAAAAAAATATAAGAAATTTGTGAGTAAATTAATGCGTAATAATGATGGTGACTGAAAGAACATAGTGAATTTAGAGGGAAATGAGCAAGTACAACTGAGTCTGAAAAAGCGCAAAATGTGTTAAAGTCCTTTTTGTTATATCTGCCAACCATAATTATTTCAACTTCATTTTTTGCCAAATTTATCATTTGAAGCATTCGAGAAAATAATGGCAGCATAGCTGTAAGCATAAGAGTTAATTCGGTGGATTTTTTAGTTTAAAATCAACTTCCAGGTTTCATCTCATTATTTTCAACATAATAATTAAATAACAAATATAAATATATAAATAAATATAAAAATATAGGTATTTAAAAATAAAAATATTTTATCTCATTTTAATGCAACAATTTTCGATTTAATGCAAGCATTAGCAAAGACGAATCCGAAAAAGTGTACTCAAAACCAAGCCACTTTATTCATCCAGTTTTGAATAAATAAAAAATTTATTTATGAGGGAAAAAAATTATTTCCCTGTTTCAGTGGTTCAAAATGGAATCTAAGCTTTCTCAATAAGCTGAAATATGCAGACCACCACATTTTGAAGTAAATACATGGCTGAATTTTGATTTGGATGTCCAGGTATTTACGTTCAAGCCGCATTTCTAAAATCACCTCCATACTTTTTGGACTTCCCCAAGCCTACTTATTTTGTCTCAGAACCTCCTCAAACCGCGTTTTACTCTCTTTGCATCACTAGTTTTAGTTTTAAAAGGGACAGTCACAAACTGCGAAATCAAGGCCCAAAATGAAAGCGTTCATTCTACTCTATTTGCACTGCATTTTCAAATGCATTTTTCTTAATGGCGCATTATCTCAGTGCCAAAATATTGCTTCTACTCTGTTTCGACTTAAATGCATTTCAGTTCAAAATAAACCGTCGTATACCATTTCAGCGCAGAAAATTTGAAAAACTACTGTTCATTTTTCTTAATAAAAGAATAGTAGCGGTTATTTTAAAACAAATAAAAATAAAAAATAAAAAACAAGTAGAAAAAAAAGTAGAATATTTTAAGAATTTTTCCTAAGGATAAGTAAGCGAAACTGCTTATCAGTTTTCTGGTATTTTAATTTTTCATCAAAAATTACAAAACATTTATAAAAAAATAAATGAAAAAGAATAGAAAAATTTAGAAATTTTTTTAGTGATAAGCAAGTGAAATTCTTTACCAATTTTCTGATATTTTTAATTTATTATCAAAGCTTTAGGGATATAAATCTATTATCAAAAAGTTAAAAAAATGAAAATAATAAAAAAGGTTCATTGCTAATGCAAATAATGGAAAAATATGAATTTCAAATTATCTAACAGAGGCTTTTCTAATTCTTAAAGATGAGAATCAAATCTGCAATACAAGCCAAAATCATTCGATCTTCTTATCAGTCCGAAATTATTTATGACTGAAGAAATTGCACGATTGCACGATAAAGCGTACGCTTTTAATTTCTCTTTTTTTCATTTATTTTATTTTTTATTTTTCTATTTATTGTTGAAGAAGATGCAAGTTTTTATTGTTTGGCTACGAAGAAAGATTTGTTAAGCATATTTCGCTCATTTATTCCGAAATCTGTTGTAATTTATTCGGAATAAGCAGAATATAGTTGGTGTTATCGAACGAATAAAATACTTTTAGTTGGGCTGAACAAAATTCTATGTGAAATATTGAAAGAAAATTCTTACGAGAAATAATTTTCAGATCTTTTGAAAATGAAGTATTAATTATAAAATTTGAAATGTGTTCTAAACGAAATAAGAAGAATGATTTCGCATTTTCGAAAAAAAATGAGATTATTTGAAATATTTTGGAAAATATAATAAAGAAAATTTTATTTAGGAAAGAAGGATCGATCGTTTCGAATGAGTTTGCTGATTCCATTATCTTAAATAATGCAAATCATCGAAATTATTTCAACAAATTTCATTACATCAAGAAATGTGGCGCAAATTTTCCTCATTGCTGGAGTTTTTCAAAATTTCTTTCTCTTTTTTCCAATATGCATTTCACTCGAGGATATTTGTCCTAAAATCTTTGGAAAATCATTCCAAAATACTCCGCATAAATCGACTTTTCATGCACACTTCACCTACTTTAATCGTTTTGGGTGACAATGTTCTGTTAGAAAAGTGAAACTAATTGTAGAAAAACTTTATTACTTTTAATTTTTTTTTTCCCTTAATTCAGCATCTCAGTTGTTCAGACATTTCGTCGAATTTATTGAAAGGATTTTACCAAATTTTCAATCAATTTTAATAATTTAACCAATATAAAATGAATGCGATAAATCCATATCAACTCAAATTACCATAATTTTCGGTAAATTTTGCATTTTTGCAAATATATATTTAATGGAAAAGAGACGAAAAGAAAAATTCAACTCGGTTTGAGTTTTGATAAAAATTTATAAATAAATTTTAAATCTTATGAAATCTCCTTTTCTCATTCTATTTGTTTGGCTCAAATAATTTAATTTAATTTAATCTTTAAACCGTAATCTATTATTTATTTTTAGATTCTATATTATTACTGATAGAAAAAGAATTAAATAGGAGAAGAAAGCATTCATTGGAGACGATTTGAATCCAAGCATAATTTTTTCGGCCATCGAATGTTCGTTGTTGATCATTTAACAAATCTCCACTAAACGTTTGCGTAGAGTGTGTGGATTCGTTGCGTGAAATCTAATCGTCTAACTTTTTTGACGAATTAAACTATTTATTTAATTATTAAAGGGGATTTGCCTTTAGTGGGAGATTGGTGAAAAAAGGCTTATGAGAATGCGACAAATTTAAAATCCTTTTTTATGGACAATTGTTGCAAGTTCGTATGACTGATGGATTACTTTTATTCTGACTCTTTTTCTGTTATTATCCTAAATTACTGTAAAGTTTTTAAATTCGGTGCTTATGGGAATCTTTTTGAAGTGCACGATCGAAGCTGAAAAGCTGAAAATTGAAATTAAAGATATTCCCATCAGTTTGTTCTTATTAATTAATTGGATATGAGTGCCGTAGTTTGCGTCGAAGAAAGGCATAACGGAACCTTCAAAACCTTCCATAGTTCCATAAAGCGAGTTCAACGAGGATTCATCGAAAATACATCAACTGTTGCTTATTCGACTTTTCGAATTTCGCGAATTTGTGTTAAGTTTATATTAAATGAACTTCTAAACTATATTCTACTCTCCGATCGATCATAAAAGAATTAATGAGTAGAAAATGAATATGTAACAACTAAATTACCCAATAAATAAGCAAAGAAGAATTTTAAAGAAGGAAGTTTTGTTGGTCTAAAATACTAAAGCGAAAATTTGTTTAAAAAAAAGAATAAGATTAAACTGAAAGAAGAGATAAATTAGCTGCGAGTGAAAATTCTGCAGTAGAGAAATGTTATCGTGAAAGATGAGATTGGAATAAAAAAATGAAAAAAATGAACTCGAAGAAACTAAAAGTTTCGAACGAAATATATTGAAAACGAAATATTTAGAATAGAATTGCAAAATTTGTAGTAGAGCATATTGCAAGCAGTGTATCGAGACGAGCTTCGAAGTACAAGAAGTGCCTCCTTCCCTTTTTTCCTCCCTCCATCCATTTCCTTCCTTCCTTCACTA